TACTGATGTTGAATTTCAGTGCGTGATATTATCTTAATGCCTTCACAGCATGTTGCCAGTTGTATTTATTTTTGGATAGTTGTGTGCAAATTTAGAATGTAACGTTATTAAGTGCCAACCCATGTTATTGCATGGACACCATAACTTTATGTAACTACTGACAAGCTATTTAATCAAGTGCCACTCACATGTTAGTTGGATGCTTGTACGTTTGTGTGAATCATACCTTTGTAACCAGTGAAATTAAATCAGCACTGTTTGACACTTGCCTTCTACTTTGTTATATTTTAGTGACTAAGTCTCAACAAGAGATTTGTGCAACAACTGAGAGAGACCTGCTCAGGTTATATGCCTCAAATGTGAGGTCAGCATTAAGTGTTGTTTACAGCTAGGCTGCAACATCTGCAAATTTCAGCTCAACACGCCCTATTTCAGCAGACCTTTAATTTGCAGTTGGTATCTTCTCTCCCCCCCCCCCCCCCCCCCCCCCCCTCTTTCCTCCCAGTCTCCATTGGCCTCACGTGGAGCTAGGGTATGCTACATTCTTTAGAGCAGAGCTTTCCAAATGTTTTCTGTTGGTGACACATTTTAGACAAGCATTGTTTCTCGACACAGTAATTCAGGCTACTGGCAAACTAGATAATAGATAGGAATACATACACAGATGAGTTTCAAATGCTCTCCTTGTGGATTTGGAGGCTTCATTGTTGGGGGAGAACAAGAGTAGACCCACTGCCTTCCCCAAAAGCCTGAGAGTCAAGGAGCTTACAGTTTGCATACAAATAAGCCAGATTTGTGAAACGGATGTGCATGCAATACTCAGCTTCTGGAACAAGAAGAGTAAAGACTGGAGGTGGACCCAGAGCTTCCTGCCAGAAGTTTACAGCCAGTGAACACGAAGAAGAAGAAGTTTTACTCAAGACATTTTCACACTGCAGCTGATACACAGTTTGGAAAGCTCTACTTTAGAGTATGCAAAATATGTCAGTTATAATATCTTAAGAGAGAATATCCTTGCACTGATACTTGTTGTCCATACTGACATCCTAGCATGTTAGTCCAAACCATTCATGCTCTGTCTTCTGATGCAGCTCACCATCCCCAGGAGGAGCAAATCTTCTTTCTGTGCCTCGCAACTGGTTTCTCCATGCTTTTCTCGTTTAAAATCCATTTCCAAAAAGGGGTTCGTCATCCTGACTCCTTTATCTTAGCATCTGCGGAAGGCAGGGTATTCTGTATGTCTGCCCAGTCCATACTTCTTACTCCACTATTGCAGACACAGCCAGTCTGTCAGCTCTTTCATTTCCTTTCACCACAGTGTGTCCTGGTGTGTACAGCCAAGATAGTTTTTAGAGATGGGGCTTCTGGATGCTGTCAACCTATTCCAGTCAGAGTGTGCTCATTAAAATCTTATGCATGCTTATTAAGCCTGTCACTATCAGTGTGTGCATTACTACACACTGATACCATATTGCAAGCTGACTTTGAGAAAAACACAATTATCAGATTTCATCCATTAAAATGTGTATATCTTTGCCCGCTCTTTTGATATTAAACAACATACACCTATTTCACAAATGACACCAGGTATGCTCATTTCATATAGTTCAGTCATTCAGTGAGTCAGGTACCATCTCCATAGAGTTGAGTAGATTCAAGAACCGATTTCACAGCACTCAGGGCATTCCAATAATATTCCCTATCATCAGCAGCCAGCGCAGAGTTCCGATACTAATGGTGCCAGTAGCATTCTGATTAAACCTCCATCTTGCCTTTCCCTTGAGCCTCGAGCATCTGCCAGAACCTCTCGTCACTTCCTGCTGCATCAATCTCACCAGACTGTGGTGATCCATCTTCTCCTCCAAACTGTACACGCTCTCCCACACAAGGCACTAACAACGTCTGCCTTATCATTCATCAGTATTCCACCAAGTTGTGCAGAGCTAGCCAGTCTGTCCGCCTGTTCATTTCCCAACACACTGGCGTGTTCTGACTCCTCACCTGTGTCCTCTGCAGTGAAGCATGCCACTTTGCACAAAGAATGCCTGTCCTGACCTTCCCCAGCATGCTTTCTAAGTCAGCCACACTCACGATGTGTGTGTGTGTCATGTTCTCTAACCAGTGGAAAGCTGCAGTGACCGCCTCCACCTCCATTCTTAAGCTGGATGTTGTGGTATCATATGCTAGGCTCTCCTGCACCAAATGTCGACTATTAACTTTTGCTAAGAAACCCCAAGCACTTCTTTTGCCTTTTGACACTGAACCGTCTGAATAAATAATCAAATCCTCTAAGCAAGCATCATCTTGAATTAATTGCTAAATTTCCACCTCTGTGGAACCTGCTGGCCAGTCTCTGCATTCCCGGCTCAATGTGATTATGATCCTACACAAGTCTGACTGTTCAGGTGGCACTTCTCTATCTCCAAGGGAAGGTTAACAGCAGTATATCACTGTCCTCACTAATGGTAACTTTTCTTCTTTTCTCTACTACTGGAATGCCTCACAGCATCAGGATAGGAAGAGATCTCTGGAACGGGCCCCTTCTGTTTGCTTCGTATATAGTACTTTTTAGTGTCTCTAATATTTCTGCAATCCATATTCTGCGTGGTCGTCTTCTGACTCTGTCATTGCAGTATCTGTATAACATCTCTCTCTGTGGAACCCTGTCTGTTGCCAAGCTTATCACATGGCCAAACCATTTTATGTTAACTCCCATCCTAGGTAATGTCTTTATATTTCAATATATGCCACTGAGATCAGAGTACCAGGTCTCACCGACCTTGGACCACCTATTTATGGAAGCGCCTCATTGTATGTCCTAGTTTACAATGTTGACAGTGTCTTTACTCAGGTAGCAGACTTGGATACGTGCTAGTTTCTGAGTTTGAAGAGGTGAATGCGCTACAGTCTTCATGGTGATAGTACTGGGTCTAGAGAAAAAGTCTTTAACTTCTCTATGATAGGTACAATCCCTTTTTCTGACTCAATCTTAACGTTAACACATAATCTTCCAGAGTTGAAATTCAATCTTCCAGAGGAATTTCAGCCCACAAATGATATAATTCAGCATACCATGACCATCAGATTTTAAACACTTTATTGATAAAACATTTGTCTCCAAGTTGAATGCATAGAATATTTGGTTAGTGTTTAAGTACATAATAGACTGTTGTAATAACAATCATCACGACAGTAGTAGTAGTAGTACAGATGTAGCTAATAACTGTTTTAATAATAATAATCATAACAGTAGTTAGCAGTGTTGGTATTGCTTCTGCATACATAGCTTAGTAGCTAGCACTTTGCATAAGATGAGTTAACTGCGGTACAAGGGTGTGGGAATAGTATAGTGTACATGCAGTAAACATTGAACGTTTGATCGGTACAGTAAGACTCAAATGTTCTGTGTGTATCTAATATGTGCAACACAGTTTTAGGTTCTTTTATATTATTTCACCATTTCACAGGGGCCCTTGAGATTTGGTAGGAAAATGGTAAATGAATAGCGACTACTATTAAAGGTAATGGTAAAGTCGGGAGATGTGAACCAGTGTCATTGCACACGGTTATAAATCATAAGTGCTCTGCAACCAGTACGGACAGCTGATAAGAAGTTGTCCGTATGTGTCGCCGTTCGCACGCAACTCTGTAGCTACAGCGACGTTCCTCCTTTACCCCAGAGTGTTAACACCCATTTCCTATACGCTGGGTGAACCCCGGGAACCGCCTGGTTTTGAACACCGACCGTGGGCTGCAGCGAGTCGCAGCTGGATTTGAAAGCAAGCCTCTCTTATTGATTGCGCTAACGCGGCCCCTATTAATCATCATAACAGTAGTAGTGGTACAGATGCAGCGAAGCTAACACTCTGCATAATAACTGTTGTGATTATAATAATCATAACAGTAGTAGGTAGTGGAGGTGCTGCTGCTTCTGCATACATAGCACTTTGCATAAGATGTTGGTGCTAGTTGGTGTTGTTTACTATCAAACCTAACCCTAACTCCCTATACTATGGGACATTCTGTGGATTTCCCTACCAAATTTCGAGGGCCCTGTAATATGGTGAAATAACTGAAAAGAGCAGTTTTATCTAATATTTTAGAGTTACGGATGTTTCTGGCTAGTATTTATTTCCGGTACAAACGTGTCAGCTACTCAGCTGAAAAACATGTGAAGTTCTTTCGGAGACACTTCAGTTAAGTGATTTTTTAATTTTCTTGTTTGTATTAATTAAAAGTAGAAAAAAAAAAAAAAAAACTAAAGGATCATTTGCGACGCCTTTCGAGGGTATTGGTATATAGGGCTAGACCTATATTTTATAGACCAAACGGCATTTGTTGGGTGATGTAGTCAGCATCACGCCGCCCGCCTTTACTTCCCAGGACTGTACCTGGTACCCACTCAAGGCTAGGTCGACCTGGCAGCCAAGATAATTTTTGAAAAAAAGAAGTACGGTCCACATCAGGAACCAAACCCACGACCTTCCGATCCGCAGGCGAGCGTTTAGACGATGGACCACGGCGGCACCCTGTTTGAACTTATTGGTATTGAATATTCACGTAATGTGCAGATGAAGACTACAAAACCGCAGCGTTCATTCGTCCCTTTGTTTGTGGTAATGTGATCCTGACTGTTCTACTTTTCGTTTGGTTTGATATCTGTTCTGTTCACGATAAATGGGGCGGCGTCCGTGGCTTAGGCGTTGCGATAGTAACCCACTGCTGGCTGCGTGGATTTTTATCATGGTATGGAGCGTCGCAGGTCGACCCAGCCTAAAATGGGTACCAGGATGGCTGTCCTGGGGAAGTAAAGACAGCCGGCGAAATGATGACCACATTACCCACCTAGTGCTGATTGGTGTGTAAAAATGTGGGTGCTCTTCCCATATACCATTGTAAACGTTGAAGGAAACGCATATTTGTATGGCTGCTGATGAAATAGTACCTTATTATATTATTAAACATGCATACATTAATTTTTAAAAAATGGGAGGAATGGGTCAGTCAGGGTTCTGAAACAAACCACACATTTCTGATTTTTCTATTCTTCTCCATAAATTTCGCGCCAGCATGGGTGTCACTTTTGCCGCCATCTTCCGCCTGAAAACAAAATCGCATAATTCCGGTTTACTGTCCGGCTTGCGGTCGAACAGCCTCTCGGGAATGTTGATGTGTCGGGCATCGAACACTTTCGCCAGAATGCCCGTAATGAAGGCATCCTCCACGCTGATGTAGGGAAAGTACTCGGCCACCTCCAGCATTCTCTTCGTCAGGGTTGTGGGCAAAGCGTATACGTTACCCTGCAAGAGAGAAATTGTCATAGATGTTCTAGATGCGTTAGAGCTTGCTGGTTTATATGTTTGGGGAAATTACTAAAAGTCCACGTGAAAAAATCCAAGCGTTCACCGGGGTTTGAACCCGGGACCTCTAGCACTCGAGACGGATGCCATGCCTCGAGACCACTTAGCCCCTATGTCTACTATACTGTACCAGTGCTCCTCTAACCTTTAACACCCACGACCCACCAAAAGAGAGGACATTGTTTTACCGACCACCTTAGAGCTAGCTAAAAACCGAAACGTAACGGTTGTAACCGCCGGCCTTCGTACCTGTCGAATGCCCTAAAATAACTGTTTTATGCTGTTTAACGGGGTTTCCATGACTTGTTCCAGATTGGTTCTCATAATCGAGGTGATAATGCTACGGACTGCAATCCCGAATGGGAAGAACTACCCACCTACCCTAACCCCATCATATGATTAGGCAGAAATTTTTGGTGGGCTGTCGATTGAAGACTATACTTGGATTTATTGGTTTAGACAATGGATCAACATCATGGTACTCGGGTAGTAACCCATAAGTGCTCCGTTCTACTTCTAACTCAAGCCTGAGTCTAAAAGAATCTCAGCGCATTGAGTGTGCTCCATTGCACTGACGAAGATTCTGAAATACTTTGGGGTAGATTTTAAACTCCTAATTTGGTCCGGGCGGCCCCGTTAGGCTCCTCTTTTTCGATTTCCAACTGCCAAGGTATTTTTTTACGTGCGCAACAACCTCAATACACACAGGCGTCTGATCCTACTACACAGAACAGGGGAAATTACTAGAAGTCCAAGTGGAAAAAATCCCAGCCTTCACCGAGGTTTGAACCCGGGACTCCAGCACTCGATGCGGATGCGATACCTCATGACTACTCAGCTCCCACTACACTGCTACCACGTCTGTTACTCTACAGCTGGAAAACCAGTAAGAATTACAATTTAAAGTACTACTGTTGATGCTGCTACTACTACCACCATCACGATACTACCACTGCTGCTACAACTACTACTCATACTGCTAATGCTATTGCTACTTCTACTACCACTACCGCAACTACTGCTGTTGCTGCTAATACTACCCGCTGAAGCTGAAACAACTACTAGATACTGATAAAAGTGGACAATAAGATCCTGGCACTGAAATGAAAACTACCAATCTTTACCATTCTTTTGGCAAATAGTCGTTTACTTAGACAATGGGCAGACATCATCAAGTTCCAGTTCAGTCGCTAAGCGACTTGGGGAGGAACAGTTTGCGAGCCATTGTTTGATGAGTAGCAGTGGCTGTTGTCATTCAATGTCGTTTTAGAAGCTCTTTAATGTTATCAGTCCATTTTCTCTTAGGGTGACATCTTTCATTCACATCACATCTTTTCATATACAACGCCTGGATTTGTAATTATTCTGCCTGCATTCTAGCTAGAAGACCAAACCATTTGATCTTTTGTGTCTCAATAAATTTGCGGCATAATGTTGCTCCCACAGTCTGTATGATAATTTGATTTCTAACCTTGTCTCGGATAGTTAAGCTGGCGGTTTTTCTTAGGCACCTCATTTCACAGACTTTAAAGTTAAGTACGTTAGCCTTTGATAATGTCCAAGTCTGGCACTGGTAGCACTGTGTTGGTATGAATATACTGTTTATAATCTGTTTCTAGGCACTTAAAGTTATGTTTGGATGTCTTAGTAACGGTGTCAGGTGGCATATCTGCACTGGCTCGTTAGCAACATGTTCTTTTTGCTTATCAATTCTCTCGCCCTCCAAGACCATACTTTCCAGATATTTAAATTCTTTAACTTGCTTTAGACAAGTACCATTCAAGCCGATTTGTAATGGAATAGAAATTCTACAAATGTGCCTTACTTCAGGTGTAGTAATATATAATTTCATGTTATATCGTCTGCATGTTGAACTTAACCTATTCAAATAGTCTTGCAGTTAACACCCCCCCCCCCCACCCGTTGTAGAACAGACATACTGATCATTTGCAAAATGTAGCTCGTTTAATGTGTGTGGATCAAATTCTTCTTCTCCCCTGTGGGTTACGGGGCAATATTTTAGGGAAAATAAGAGTAGATCCACTGCCTACCAAAAAGCATGTCGTAAGAGTCGACTGATTGGGAGCTTCCTTCGAAGTCGGAATGCATTTGCCTGAGAGGCAATGAACTAACAGTCTGCATACAAATTAGTCAGATCTGTCAAACGGATGCACAGACAACACTCGGGTTCTGGAACAGGACTGCAGTCCAGAAGTGAACAACAAGAAATTTCCACCGGAGTTTACAGCTGGTGGACACGAAAAAGAAGAAATTCTTTTTCAGGAAAGTAAGGCTTCTCATCATTTTGGATTTAAAATTTAGCCTTTTGGCAAATATAGATTTTTTAATTTTTACCTCTCCAGATTTGCAGTGTAGATCCTGGAAACCCCTTTAACCTTTAACCTTTTATTCATATGACAAAATATGCTATGGTTTTTTTTTTTTTGGTGGGGTGGGAAGGGTGAACCACAAAATGGTTGCCAACTAACCTGTCGTCCAGTGTGTGTGGGTATGATATAAGTCTCTGGATTTTCTAATCGATTTCCTTAAAGCAGGCTTTTTCCCCCCTTCATATTAGACAATGTGGTCTTAAAAACCCTGCTGAAATCGATTAGAATATCGCAGCTTCTCTATAAACAGGTACAATGCACCCAACAACTATTCAGAAATAGAGCATAATATATATATATATAATATAAAAACATTTAGAACAAACATTTATTCGTTAAAAAGTTGTCTAAAAGTTTACCAAGGCATAAGGGGGATAATAATCCGGAAAGTAAGCTTGTTTAGATATCAGCAACTTATGCTCGCTTGTCTCCCTGTTGACAGTGTCGGCGAATACAATCGGTCCAAAGATCATATTGGTCATTTCCTGGTAGGCGAGAACTGTCAGAATCAGGGGCAGATCCAGGAAGGTGTCTTCTTCAACCTAAAAGATGCAACAGAGGTATTCACCACTAAAAATTATATTCATTTAACAGTATTTGTTACAGCGTTCCTTTTTTTTTCATCCTCTTCTAAAATAATAATCCTGTCATCTACTTGTGGGATGCAATATTTTTCGTTTTTTGAAGCCTCACCATGACTCTTGCCAGGGGCCGCAATATAGCCCGGCCATAAATATGGTCTAATGGCTAAACGCGGTTTCTGGGACCTCTCCACGGGTGAACCTCATCCACATGATGGCACTTTGTGTCATCTGGTGTTTATCGATTGTGTGATGTCCTGGTGTGGTAAAAGTAGATAGATAGATAGATTCATCACCTTCACTTCCTTCTCCTCTGCGTCCTCTTAACATCACTACCAAGTCCTCCCTTTCTTTTCATCTTGGTGGTTGCTTTGACCAGTAAAGAAAGAATAACGTATTTAACAATCAGAAATAAATGCAACGGTCGTGAATTATTAATCATTGTTATATAAATTGTATAATCTTTCCACCAACATTGTGTTACAAATGCCAAACCTGGGCATTAACAAAAGAACAAGAGCGGAAACTAACGACGTGTGAGAGTAGATGTTTGAGATAAGCAGTCAGCATAACCAGAAGAGACCATATGAAATAAGAATATATTATTAGAATGGAGGGAAACAACACCTATCATTAGAGTTACTGAAAAACAAAGACTGAAATGGTTTGGCCACCTGGTGAGAATGAACCCAATATTGCAATAGCATACACTATGACAATGGAAACATCCAGGTGTAGAGGACGGCCAAGAAGAAAGTGGATAGATGGAGTTAACAACTTGCTGAAACTCAACAATATCACCATGCAGCAAGCCAACTAGCTCACACTATTCTGTAAACCGATAATTAGCCGTGCCTGCCATGTCTAAAATCATTAAACAGAAAAAGAAAACATATAGATATCAATGGTATTCTTTCTTTACCTGGCCTAAAATTTATATTTTTAAATTAGTAACTGCGAGATAAATGGGAGCCGAGGTAAAACAGCAGCTAGACAACTGCCTTCTGGCCTGGTGGTTTTTGGGTTCGAATGCGCAGCGAAACAGATTTTATAAATAATTGACGTAGGCTCTCTTGTCGACCACGAATAATGGGTAAAAGGTAATCATGTGGGAAGTAAAGACGACTGGCGTGACGCTGACTGCATCATCCACTGCCTACTGTAATCATCATTTTATTATTACATCACGGACGAGCCAGGGACCAGGCAGATATACTGAATGCTTTCTGAGAAGACGTTTGTGAGAACTGACTGACTGTGCATCTGCAAACATGAGCAGACTACGAGAACAGCAAGTTCAAACGACTGTGGCCAGACAAGAGTTAGTTAGTTAGTTAGTTAGTTGGGTTATCCTCATTGCACTCCGGACATGTCCATAGGTGCTCAGATCCTCCCCTCAGTATGAACCCCAACGTCCGATGGCTAATAGTACCAGTTCTATGTTGATTAACAAGTCTTCTGGCGTAACTGGTGTGCGTCTCGTTTTTTGCTGTGCCGATCTTAATTCCCAAGTCTGCCATTCTGGCGAGTGATGTGGATTCACTGCCACCAAAGTCGTCTATCCTTCCCATTTCTCTGAGGGCATTGATAACATCAGCATGATCCATAGGCTGACCGTCGGTAGTCAGAGTACTTTGTAGAAAGCCAAATAGGAATAAGGAAGCAACACAGAACTGGTGTTGTCAACCGTGACACGCTACGGGATTTACGGAGGGGACATGAGAAATTATGGACTGAATGGTTCGACATCGAGTGAGGTAATCTGTCGACTAACTAACCGTGGTCTGTTTACATTTTAGAAACTATTATTTCTGACAGTGAAATCTGTCGCATTGTGAAAGCAACTTGGATTAGCACAACATACCTCAATGGGAAAGATGATATATATATATATATATATATATATATATATATATATATATATATATATATATATATATATATATATATATATATATATATATATAACATTTTAAAGAAAAGAAGAAGAAGACACTGATTGCATAGAGCTGTTTTCACTGTACTTACCTATTTATAGTTACAATGGAGAATGCGGCAGCGCCCCGATTAGCACTCTTACCTGCTATGCCGGTGTTACAGGTTCGCATCCCATTCGAAGTGGATTTTAAACTTTGACACGGGTTTACATGTCTTATTTGACCAGTAACGTATGACAGACAATGTTTTGGAAATCGGCACCGTGTAAGTATTATTATCATGATTTTTAAAACTTATTACACTTAAAAAAAAAAAAAAAGGGCTCCCTGAGCCGATCCTGCCCTTAAAAAATTACGAGGGACCTCCCCCACCCCCAATATTTTTTGTGACAGTGCCCCTGGCTATGGGAGGTATCGATGGCGGATATGATGTTGATAACATAATAGTTTGGTTTGTTGAAAAAAACAATCTACCGAATAATTTTCCATTACGTTTGAAGACGTGGAAATTGGACCTTCATTTAGACATCACATTGATTACACGATGTTTTTACATGACGGAGTTACCTTTATTACATGCTGGGCTCCCGGGCAGTACTCCTGCACCCATTTAAACCCCGCTAGAACTTTCCTGGTAGCCGGATGCCGGTTCTCCTGTCAGCGAAGTTAAAATTACATATGAGTGTGTCTGCTGACAAAACAGTTTACAAGTTTAACCGCATGTTTAATAAAACACACGCTTATTCATCAATTTCATAGTTTTGCAATATATTTGCTAGCTAATGAGGTTTTGAGTCGACACACCACTATTAAGTAAAAAAAAAAAAAAAAGCAGTCCCTTGGCAGTTACTTCACCAGATTTCCGGTCAAAATGGACGATAGTCGCGGTCACTGTTTTTAGTATAGTTGTGGCATATTTTTTGCCTCTGACAGACTGGTCGTTGCATTCTCCTCCATTTGTAGACTGAATAGATATAGTTTTATCGCCCAGCTACTGAGTTGAGTGCATGCATGACAGACACTGGGTACTGTGGATTCAATTTAGGATGTTTTTCGACTGTGACCAGCCAGATGTTGTGAACTGTAGATTTAGAAAATGGCGCGTGGCCTTTTGCAATAGAACTGGTGAAGCCTTATGTGGTTAAAATTGATTGCGTGTGCACCTGCTGATCTGTTTATAACTGCTGCTTCCGTCGCTGATGAACTGCATTTCTAATGTGGGACTGTTTGTGTTAGCACTTCTGATAGCTTGTGTTAGCACTTGTGATGGCTGCATTATGCTTGTAATGCGTGTGTATGCTAGTGGACTGTAGTTTGTATCAGATTTTCCACCAGGGACAGTGATGGACGTTTTGTGTTTTTCTTCCCTGGCACAGGAGCTGAGCAACTATGGAGTGACCCGTTTGCTATAAGGCTGAAACTAAGATAACCACTTACTTTACCTCAGTGAAAGTGTTTATTATCGCTGCTTACCTTTTTCTCCTGCATTTCCTCTACCAATACAGCCAAGATCTGAACTAAATCACATGAACTCGTTTTGAACTTGTGTGTGTGCGCGCACCCTTCTGACAAGTGCACAGTGCACATGTAACAAATTGTGTAATATATAAATATTGAAAAGAGCAAGTGGGATATTTCGCCTCTCAGGATGTATACATTTGAAAATAGGAAAACTAACGTGCAATAATAGTTTATGATTCTGGGTAAACAGATTTGGCTCCTTGACAGTGTTACGGTGTTCGTTCATTACGAGGAGGGATGCTTCCGTCATGATCTAAAGGAAGTAATTTAAGGAGATGTTTGTGATTAGTGATTAGCAAGGATTATCACAGACATCTGGATAGATCCATAGGGGTTCTGATTTCCTCCCCAGAAGCTACACAAGTGTAAAACGACTAAAGACGCCTGTTCTGTGTTGGTTAATGAAACGTGTTGTCCGCTTAATGAAATGTTCATTTCTTGCAGCTCCAGGCTGCACCTCCATGTCCATCAGCCTAGGCAGGGATACGAAGTCATGCCCTTAGGCATGTTCGTCGTCACGGTAAGTGTTGCTCATGGCAAGGATACCATCGCTTCTGTCCAGTACTGAAACAGCCATAGCAACGTCAGTGTATGCAAGATGATCTGTATGCTTGTTTCCTCGAACACCCGCATAACATGGCACCAAGATCAAAGTCAGGGCAGCCATTCGCGAAGTGCTTAGTGTTGCAATCCATTTTTGTCTGATAAACCAGCTTGGTTTTTTTAAAGCATATGCATCTAGTCACTAATTGTGAACTCTGGAGTACCAAGCCATACTAATGCCCTTGTTACGGCCATAGTTTCTGTTGTAAGGCTGCTACGGAGATATTCGTGTACTGTAGAATGAAAGGATCAAGAAAATGGACGGAAAAAAAAAAACACAAAAACAAATTGTTCATGGCAGATCAAATTGATTGACACGCACTGTAGCCATCTTTAGTTGGAACACACGTGCGTAATCACACACACATTCACACACTATCTCCCTCTTTCTCTCCATCTCTCTCACTCTCTCTCTCCCTCCCTCTCTCTCTCACTCTCTCGGCGTCTCATCCCTTCCCTCCAGCTGGCATCTGAAGTCATGTATACCTGTATATCAACAAGAATAAGGTCCCCGTGTTTCTCCGATTCTTTGGTGGCCAGATCATTGTCTATAGGATCTTCACTGACCTCCAGTACAAAGATGAGCCTGACCTCTCCTGGCAACTGAAACATAAACACAGCGGATATACTTGACCAGCTCAGCACACATCTATAGCTGTTGTCTAGCGTTTATTGAATTGTCTGAGACCTCATTGTGACAAATATTATGACAAGACGAGGAGCAACCAGAGAATCTAGTCGACCCTCAACACTCAGAGGAAAGGCAAGACTGACATATAATCAAACTATGCCGTCGGAAATTGGTCTTGTTCTTTTGTCAATATACCTGCT